CATGATATTTGGCAACCATCTCTATACTTAGTGTATATTGCAGGCTTCTATGCATTCCAAACCTTCATTCTTCTGTGATAAAACTGTTAAATTACCATGATTTCTAACACATGGAAGTAAACAAACGAATCTGCACAATTATTTGTACATGCACTCTGCGCATTGCACATCTGCGCATCTATTAATCACCACACCAATGTTTCAAAGATTGAGTCAGAGGGCAAAATGATCGATTACATATTTCAAATTAATCATCTGCTCATACGAACTTGGCCTTAAAACTGTACTAATGGTAAATATACTGACAGAATAGCTATTAATGAAAATTTCTAAACAAACGAGGGACTTATTTTTCTAATATTGTGGTGGAAGCGTGTTAAGTGATTTTTCACATTTGTTCATGGGGGTAAAGTATATCTTACCCCTTTCTAAACATTATGAAGTTTCAAATTCCAATAACAACAGAATGCTAAGCACAAAAGTAGAATTGCTGCATAAATTATTTAAAAGGAACAAAGTCAAAACTAATTTGAGAAATCATAAGAAAGCTGTATGCTTCACTAAGTCCACTAACTATGAAGTTTCAAATTCCAATAACAACAGAATGCTAAGCACAAAAGTAGAATTGCTGCATAAATTATTTAAAAGGAACAAAGTCAAAACTAATTTGAGAAATCATAAGAAAGCTGTATGCTTCATTAAGTCCACTAACAGATTCTCAGTGCAGGAAATGAAATATACCAATATCACATAAATTGCAAAGAAAACCACAGAGACTAAATGTCAACAATGGATACAAAAATGAGTAGAATTCAGTGGAAACGAACACGTCGTTTCAAACAAGTAAACTGTTATACGTTCATAAAGAGCAACTATGTTTATATATGGAGGTGTACGAAATAGTTCAACTTCAAAATGGAAACAATTTATGTGCCATGTAAGGCAATGAACATATAACAAGGTGAGTCTTCAACAAATTATGAGTGGACAATTATTTTCAAACAATCTGACAGCTGCCAGAGAGAACTGAGGGAGTTAAGGCATGCGATGCAATCATGATAAACACTGTTAAGCACTCGAACGTAAGGCAATGAACATATAACAAGGTGAGTCTTCAACAAATTATGAGTGGACAATTATTTTCAAACAATCTGACAGCTGCCAGAGAGAACTGAGGGAGTTAAGGCATGCAATGCAATCATGATAAACATTGTTAAGCACTCGAACACCCATGCTATAATACAAGCCAACAGACGACCACCACTAAATTGCTCTTCAATATGTTGGTCAAGGGTGCAAATCTGTTGACGCTTCTCCAACTTTCTTACTACATGGTTGTTCTTCTTCACCTCCTCAGCGACGGCAACAACAGCATCACCTTCCTATCAAACAAATAACACAAAATGACCTCAAAGACAGTAAAGTTCATTGTGCATGTGTGTGTCCAAAAGTAAAGTTCATTACCAGAAAAGCTCCTTTATTTCATTTTGCAGGCATCGTATTCCGAGAATAAGAAGATAACACCATAAAAAATTACCTGGATCAGAATGGACTTTAGTTTCACATATTCTCAAAAGATCATCCAAAGCCAACCGAAAATGAAGGTCCAAAAGTTCATTTGCAAATTCAACTTCTTTAACACTTGGGAGCCACCATTGGGTTATCACCTGAATAATCTTTGGTGCTGATCCATTCCTCTAATGCAGCAGCATTTGGATGATGCAAAATGCACCTAAAGAAATAATATTATTTTTCTTCTTTGGCAGACAAATTTAAAATGTATGTACTCACACAATTATGTAACTAGCAAGAAAAGTTAATATACTTGTATTGATCAATAGGATAATAAAGAATCAGGCTTCCAAGAAGGGATCGAAGAAGATGATCACCAGCTCCATTGACCTGTCCAAAAAAAATCATTCAAACCATTGAACAATTTCAGTGAGCATTGCATGTAGAGACACATGTATAGGAAGAAACAGTTGATCATGAGAGAACAATAGTCATCAAAGTAACAAGACCTTCCAAGATGGGGACTAAAAAGCAGAAATAATCGCCTCTTTGAAGTGATCCTTGTAGCGCAGAAGTGCAGGACCTCCATAACTTATATAGCAACTGATAATACTTTTAATTGATAGTCAATTGCTGTTTCAAGAGCTGGAGAAATTGTTGGTTTGACCTGGAAAGAAAGCATTAAGTTCATAATAAAAATCTAGGCATAGACAGAAGCAAATAGTTTAAAACATTCATAAGAGAAACTACCTTTGTTGAAACTGAGGCATCGCACATTCCTCTACCTCCAAATCCTGTAGCTGGTGTTCCTTCTAAAGAAGATATAACAGACAATAAAATTGGCTCAACAAGTTGAGTAACTGCCTCTTCTGGGTTAGAATGAATGCAGGCACAACAAAGCAGTCCAACCTCTGCAATTGCCCCAGGAAGAATATTTGTCTTCACAAACTTGGAGATCTTCTTCAAAGCCTGCCAGTGATTTGAGGAAGAGTTTACAAAATTGTCATGCTGAAAAGTATAACCATTATATATAATAAAAATTTGAGTCTTTCAAGTCAAAAACTCAGAAACCTGATTATAGAGAGGTCGTGAGAGTCTCCCAAACAAGATTTCAAGCATACAATAGTAGTAAGGACCCTCCTCGACCAGAAAAGTTCTTGACGTAACTACACTCTACCCTCCAATATATTTCTGTAAAAATTTCTGCCCAAGTGGATTGTGTGGACTAACTCATCCCTTCCCTAGAAGAAGAAGAAGAAGAAGA